CATGTTCCGCTATGTCGTAGCTGTAGAGAATCCAAAGGGCTTAGGGTTTAGGGGTTTAGGGGTTTAGGGCTTAGGATTTAGGGGTTTAGGGTTTAAGGGTTTAGGGGTTTAGGGGTTTAGGGCTCATGTTGTAGCATGTCTAGCAAGAGTAAAGGTGGAACTGAGAGTGGAGTAGAGCAGGGTGGAGGAGAGTAGAGCAGGAGTAGCAACAAGGATGGGATTATAGGCCACCAAGATACACAAAACCCTAAACCCTAAACCCCTAAACCCTAAACCCTAAACCCCTAAACCCTAAACCCTCAAAACTAAGCTATGCTCAGGTGAGAACCAGGGCCACCTGAAGATCGAGAATGCCGCGACGTATTGCTGCAAAATCAATCCGGTTGCCTATCACTGTCCCTTAGTCTCGGAATAAGTGCACTTTACACTGGGTTTAGGGTGTAGGGTTAGGGTTTAGGACACATTGGGGGATAAGAACAATGACCGTCCCTTAATCTCCTTATTAGCTGAGTAGGTAACCTTCAACCTTTTTGGTGTTATAGAGTCTTCTAGAGCCCTACTATAATGGAAAAGGTTGACCTTTTTTTTTCTGAATATGTGCACTCTACACTTTCGGGGATAATCACACTCCTTCTAGAACTCCTTTTGTGGGGCCTATGAACTCGGCAACTCAGGTCTTGCGGTGCTAGGGCTCGAGGGCCAGAAGTCGGCGATTGTGGAGCAGTCGGGAAGCGAGTACGAATTCAACAACGGCGCCTAGGCCTCCTAGTGGGCCTTTGTCTGTCTTGTTTGTGGTCTTAGTTAGGCCCCTAAACCCTAAACCCTAAACCCCTAAACCCTGAGGCTGCTTATGAAAAGGATTGAATACTAAGAAGGGAGCCCCTTCGTTTCCAGAGTTTCTGGCGATCCTAGGTGATCACAAGGGTGAAAATCGGGCAGCGGTTGAGTGTCATTTTCTCAACAACAGAGCCACGATGGACGACCTGACGGAAAAGTCGTGGCTCTTCAAAACGGCCAAGAATGAGAGCTACACACCGGCGCTGCAGCAACCGACCAAGACGGCTGCAGAATACATCGGCGGCTATAACAGCGCCGGAGTCATGGCCAAGGGCTGGAAGGCGGATCCCTAACTCTAAGGCTCTTTTTTAGGGCTTATAGGGTTTATAGGGCTTATAGGGTTTATAGGGTTTATAAGGGAACCCTTACCCTCCAAGGACTCATATTTTAAGGCTTTTGGGCCCAAAGACCCTATTATATACGGCTTTTGAGCTATTTTGATGCTAAGGGTAAGGCTCTAAGGACTCGTATTTTAAGGCTTTTGGGCCCAAAGACCATACTCCATAAGGCTTATGAGCTATTTTGAGCCTCCGGGTAAGCACTGCACCATAAAAGCCTCCGCATGCCGAAGCACACACCCCAGCCCCCTCAACGGCCCGAAACTCCTATCGATCCGGAACCTTAAAACACCCCGCTACGCTCTAAAGATTTCGGACACCACCCTAAGCCCTAAACCCTATAAAACCTATAAGCCCTAGAAACCCTATAAACCCTACCAGCCCTATAAACCCTATAAACTCTAAACCCTAAACCCTAAACCCTATAAGCCCTAAACCCGAAACCCTATAAACCCTAAGCCCGCCCTATAAACCCTAAACTAAACCCTATAAACCCTACCAGGAGGATCCCAACTACACGATGACTTTGGCAGGATTGAAGCAGTGGAGTCAGGACTTCCTGAAGGAATTCCCTGCCTACCGAGCCACGTCGTGGAATTGCCAGAAATACTCCGTGGGAGTCTCTCGTTTCGTTAGAAGACCAATCCTTTGCTGGCTTTTTTCTTCCTGGGGCTCCAAGTATACAAATAGTAGCTACTTTGGGGTCTAAAGTCTGTAAATAGTACCTACTTTGGGCTATTTGGAGCTCCCAGGGTTCCTCAGACTCCAAGTATACAAACAGTGCCTACTTTGGGGCCTAAGTCGAAAAGTCTGTAAATGGTACCTACGTTTATCTTGCCGTCTTTCCTTTGAGATTTAGTTCAGTGACATGTTGGGGAACTCAGGTCTACAATGCGGTCACGCATTCCGACAAGTGGGAGAAGCAGGCCATCATATCAGGCATCGGCAGGCCCTTTGAGAACTTGTTCTCTGGCAGTTCACGATCAAGCAACATCAGCAACAACATCAACGAAATCGTCGGTGATGTCGGCAAGAAAAAATAGCTCTTGACTTCAAGGAAATGTCAGAAGCATGCCTAACATCGCGCTGTGAGCCACCGACAAACATCAGCCGCAAAGCCATGCCCCAGCTGTGCACTGAAAAAGCCCTCTAGGGTTTAGGGTTTAGGGTTTAGGGGTTTAGGGGCTTAGGGGTTTAGGGTTTAGGGTTTAGGGGTTCAGGGTTTAGGGTTTAGGGTTTAGGGTTTGGCCAGTCTGGAACAGTTTCATGGGTTGCTTCGGCACAACCCAGCTAAGCCCTCAACCCTAGATGTTCTTTGCGAGCATCTCGGCAGCTTGATTTTGACGTTACGGGATTGCACCCGGTATCTAGACCCTAGAATATAGCGCCTTTTTGGGATAGCCAGTTTTTTGGTCAGGATCCTATAATACGAGTTAATGTAACCCAAGGAAGGTACTAGAAATTAGGGTCATGTGGCAGATGCAATGGACGTGCCGTTTGATACACAGGTCGCAGTATTTTTCAACAACATTCCCCCTGCAGTCCCTATATTTGTGCCGACATGTACCCCTGTGTCCTGTTCTCGTCATTTTGGCGTCTGTATTGTCGAACCCAGAAAGTCTATATTGTACTGCTCCGAAGAGTGGGTATTGGAGGACCTACTTCCAGAGTAGCAGTATGAAGCCACTCAACAGTAAACCCTCGCAGTTGCAAACTGGTACTCTAAAGCCCTAAACGGTAAACCCTAAAGCCCTAAAGCCCTAAACGCTAAACCCCTAAACCCTTCAAGGAACCCTATAGATCCCTTTAAGGAACCCTTTAAAGGAACCCTAAAGCCCTAAAGCCCTTTGGAACCGGGTGAGGTACGTTCTCCAGCCGGGGGTCCGCGAGAACCCGCAGGAGATGTGGAACGGACTCAAGGCCGGGTCTTCCCCTACGGAACTTAGAGGTTCTATAGGGTTCTTTAAAGGGATCTAGAGGGTTCTTTAAAGGGATCTATAGGGTCCCTTAAAGGGATTTAGGGTTTAGGGGTTTAGGTTTAGGGGTTTAGGGCTTTGGGGTTTAGGGTTTAGGGTTTAGGGTTTTAGGGCTTAGGGTTTAGGGTTTAGGGCTTGGGGTACACTACGGTTGATGATAGAAACCCTAATCCCCTAAAAAAGGGCTCCCTTTAACGGGGTTCTATAGGGGTAATATGGGAACTAAGGGTTCCTTTTAAAGGGTTCTATAGGGGTAGTACGGTTGATGATATAAGTCCTGCATTACCCATAATAAGGAATCAGGGTCCTTAGGGTAATGCAGGATTTATATCATCAACAGTAGGAACTTTGGCTTTAGGGTCTATGGGTTTGCTATAGAATGGCGCAAACGCGGAAATATCTTGCAACGGTGGAAATTTGCCTGAGGCTCAAAATAGCTCAACAGCCTTACAGAGTATGGTCTTTGGGCCCAAAAGCCTTAAAATGCGAGTCCTTAGAGCCTTAGGGGCAGATTCAAGTGCATCGTAAAATGGCGATTGGCCGCTGGAGCCGGACAACGGACCCTAAGGGTCCAAAGGACCCAATAAGAAGGGGTTCTATAAGGATTCCATAACGGATCTATAGGGGTTTGTAGGGTTTCTAGAAGCTTTCAAGGGTCCAAAGGACCCAATAAGAAGATACTTTGGTCGCGGATGGTAGTTATCCAGGCTAATATTTGGGAGAGGATAGGATTGTAAGGTACTAAACCCTAAACCCCAAAACCCTCAACCCCTAAACCCTAAACCCCTAAACTCCCAGTAGGCACTTGGACCCTTAGGGGGAGGGCGTTTCTTTGTCTTTCCCACCCCACGCCCTCTGAGCCGGTCAAAACGCCCAAAGCTATTCCTTGTAGGGTTTAGCCCTAAACTCATTTCATGGTTTTCTTCTGTGTTTCAAGGTTTAAATAGATAAATAAATAAACAAATATTATATATATATATAAATATGTGCTTATACATATATATATATTTAGGTGTGTGTGTAGGGCTCAGAACTCAGGCGACAGCGCCTGCTTGCTGAAGCCCCAGACCCCCACGCCATGGCCCTTCGGGGAAGGGGGGTCGCCAAGAGCTTGCTCGGCGGCACCGTGACCGAGGACAAGCTGACCAGCACTTCCGCAGTGGTGATTGCAATCATCACGGTCCGTGCCATGCTTTCTGTTGTGGCATGTTTGAAGTTGGGAATCAAGACAGTCTCTTACAGCACCTTGGTATGCGGCAACGTGGTGATGATGTTTGCGTTTGCGCTGGATGGGCCCTGGTACATCCTCAACCTGATCGTCCGGACGGTCGGTCACCACTTGAACCACTTCATCGCGATTGCATTCGACATCGCAGCCTTTGCCCACACGGCACTGGGAGAGGAGCGGCCGAAAGACGGCCAGTGCGCCAAGGTGGATTGCTTGGGCCCCTCTCGTCGGCGCTTTCATGGCATGCATCTCTCGCAGATGCACTATCTAC